TACTTGAGCTCCATAGGCCTCCATTGGGAATGTGGAGAGAACTTGGAGGCTCTGTGAACCTGGATCAGAAACTTATTTGATCTTTTCTCTACTAGTCACAAACAGAAATTTAGCATTTCCTAGAATTAGGAATATAGGCAACAAACCATAATAGCATCTTGATCACCAACAGAAATCACAAATATTTTCATATTGCATTACAATTGTAAATATCTCAAAGAATCACTCACGTTTATCACCATTTCACTATTTCTGATCAATATACTTGGTAAATTTTGTGATTTAATGCATTATTAACGTAATGAAATCCGGGCATAATGGTGCACACCTGTAATCCCAGCACTCTGGAAGGCTGAGAAAGGAGGATCACAAGTTTGAGCCCTGCAGGCAATTTAGTGACTTAGTGAGAACCTGTCTCAAAATTTTAAAAGGGAGGTGCCTGTGCATAGGTCTTGGGTTCAATCCCCAATACTGAAAATAAAAAGTAATGCTGTAACTGATTAAAAAAATATGTTATAACAATTTCAGTATGATTGATTTCTTTTGTAATTCTACATATTTTATTTTATGCATATGAAAATGTTATTCTGAGAAGGAGTCCAGAGATTGCATTAACCTGCCAGAGGGGTCCATGACCTAAAGATAATTAAGACCTTTCCCTGGATCTTAGAGCTCTCCCGCCTCTAGGACCTCAGTCTTGAGCCACAGAACTTTGCCTGTTTTACTGGAGGATTCAAAAGTACGCATGTGTTATCACTAGGACACTGGGCAAGTTCAACTCTGTTCCTTATTTCTTAATCTGCCAAAGGAGGGATAGTAACAGTACCTACCTCATAGGGTTGTTGTGATGATCCATACATGTAAAACAGTGCCCAGTACATAGTCAGTGCTTAATAAGACACTGTATTAGGTATTTTGAGCCAGGTATGATGGCACATGCCTGTAATCCCAGCTCCTCTGGAAGCTGAGGCAGAAGGATCCCAAGTCCAAGGCCAGCCAGAGCAACTTAGTGAGACTCTATCTTAAAATAAAATGTAAAAGGCTGAGGGTGTAGCTCATTGGCAGAGCACTTGCCTAGCATGCACAAGGACCCCAGGTTCCATCCGCAGTACTACAATAAATAAATAATAATTTTATAAAAATTATTAGCTATTTTGTTGTTGCTGGTTCATATTAATAAGCCCATTAATACATTCTAATATTACCTCCATTTTTAGAAAAAAGAAACTAAGGCTTAGAAAAATGAAATGACCAGCTGGAGGGCACCAGCAAGGGTGTGGCAGAGGCAGAGTTCAAAGCCAGGCCTGTGTGACTCTGAAACCCAACAGGAGTCACTCTCCATTATACCACTGAGAGGAGGTAACAGCCCCCAAAGGCATGGTGACCATCAACAAGGAGTTCAGCTGGGAAGGAGCAGCCAGCTCTTCAAATTCCCACTCCTTTTTCCCTCCCTGTCCCTACTATCCACACCATCAGCTTTATCTGGGGAGCTGCCAGATTCACTTGCACACTGTCAGCCCTCAGCCAGGTCTTAAGGGGCAGGTCCTCTTTCAAGGCTACTGCCAGCGCACTCTCCATCTGCAAAGGGGACAAGTCCACATTCTCACACTAAGCAGCAGCCTTGCAGGCCTCATGGAGCAGTGGAGCTAGGGGAGGGGGCTGGGGAGAACTCTGAAGGGCTGTGCTTGTGTGGGGAGTAGAGGCATTTTCATGAAGAAAGTAATCTTTGAGCTGAGAAGATTGCCAGTTGAAGTAGGGCTAGGAGTGTTTGTAAATTTTTTTCCTTTTCTTTTGAGCCAGGGTCTCCCTGTGTTGCCCAAGCTGGTCTCAAACTCCTGGGTCTAAGCAATTCTCTTGCCTCAGCCTCCCAAGTAGTTGGGACTGTAGGCATATGCCACTGTGCCCAGCATGTTTGTGATTTTTTTTTTGAAGTGCTGTAGATTGAACCCAGGGCCTCATGCATGCTAGGAAACTGCTGTACCACTGAGTTATATTCGCCAGTGCCCCATGTTTGTGAATTTTTAAGGCAGAAGCAATTGGATATGCAAAGGTTCAGATGCATGAAACTGTCTGCTATGTGAGGAAAAGAAGGAAGTCACTCAGGATCTCTGGAGTTTGAGTCGAAGAGGAGAAGGAAGGAGTATCACATGGGCAGATGGAGTAGAATGGGTAGTTTATGACCACAGAGTGAAGAATGCCAGAATCAAGTGCACAAGTCTTCTGAGGAAGGAGAGCCATTGAAGGAAGGAGCAACAAAACCAAAACTGTCAGTTCAAAGGGCTATGGCACCTGCCCAATACCACTACACGGGCATGTAGGAAGTAGGTTGATTAAAAATAAAGATTGAAGACTGGTCAGACCAGGAGGGAGCTACTTCAGGAGTCCAGGGAGGAGAGGAAGAAGCAATGAAATAGTAGGGGAGAAGTCTGGAACTTTGGGACATTCTCCAGCCTGTGCCATAGGCCGACAGGCCTCATCTCTGTGTGTAAATGAGAAGGAAAATGAAAATTTCTGGGGGCACTGGCGCTCCCCCTCCTCGGGTTCTGTTTTGTGAAGGTCCTACAGGACAAGGCTTCCTCTTGACACAGCATTGCCAGGGAACCACATCTTCCATTTTAGCCTCTGGGTGAGGGCTGCAGAGGTGAGGGATCCCAGCACTACCCCTGTGTGTGGCAGGCAGGAAGGAGAGGGTACGCAGGGAGCAGGTCAGAGCCAGCTCTCAATCAAAGGAAATATCTAGCCTTGTAAGCCTTTAAGAGACTTTTCTTTCAAGTAGGTCCCACTGTTACCAGGGCAACTGCGAACTCTGGGCTTTAAATTTCTGCATGGAGTTCCTAGGGAGAGGTGGCCTGCTGAGCACTCTTTAGTCTGGGCAGGATGCAGGAAGTGCTAGCAGGAAGGTGGGATCCTTCAGTTTCGGGGGGTAGTTTCTTGACCCCCTTAACGCCTGTGTTTATTCCCTGGAGGAGCCCACACCGCCCCTCCCCCAGCCCCATGATCCAGTTCTGGTGGTGGAGGGTCCAGGCTTTCACTCCAGTGGACCTGGCTTCTGGGGGCCAGACTTTTGCACCCACCCCATGGCCCAGCTCTCAGGAGGGTGTCAGCAGTGACCTGAGGCAGGTGTCCAGGAGGGGCAAGTCCACACCAGACCATGGTACATGCTGGGGAATCACTGTACATGCATGCTTCCATCACTTACTATGTGTAGAAGTGGATCTCAAAACCAAACTGGTCATTAAATGTCACCTGGGTTAATCAATCCCCATATTCTGACTAGGCTGGGCTAGGTGTTAGAAGAGCCTGGGAGCTTTGTAGAAGTGGAAATTTCTGGAGAGTCTGATTCAATCTGTGTGGGAGCAGGTAGAGGGTACAGGTTAAGAGCACAAAGTCTGGCTGTCAGACTGCTGGGGTTCACAGTCCAACTGGGCAAATGAGGCAAGTGACTTTGAGTCAGTTGGCTGACCTTTCAGGTGCCTGTTTCCGCGCTTACATAACAGGTGAGGGAACAGTTGAGCCTGCTTCACAGGCAGCAAGATTTCCTTTGTCTTCCCCGTCCTTGGGAAGAGGGTTTAGGAAACCCTCGCTATCCTTGTCACCCTCCTACTGCCCTCCTTTCTCTCCTTTTTTCTTCACATTTTTTTTATTAGTGCGTATCACTTATACCTCCTTCCTTTCTTATTTCTGGTATTTCCTTAGTCCCAGCAAGCAAAAGAGCTCCTGTGAGATCCAACCTAGTCCCCTTCCACTGCATGACAATGAAATGAGATGATGTTGGTGAAAGTGCCAGGCACATGATCAGAACCACACTGATTTTCTCCCTCCCTCCTTCCTTCCCTCCCTCTTTTCCTTCCTTCCTCCCGCCCTCATTCTCTCCTTCCAACCTTCTTAAAGGGGCATGGCAAATGTTTGTGTGAAATTAGGGCTGCTTCTCCAAAGAACCCTGCAAGCTGTGGGAGAGCCAGGGCAGGGAAGAACCAGGAGGCCATCCTGGCCTATTAGATAGGAGGGCCAGGGGAGTTGGGCAGAGAAGGGCCAAGTGTCCCCCAAGCTAGTGGGCAACTGCATGGCTACGAAGGAGCCACTCATTAGCCGTCACCTGTGGTACCGTGGCTTCACTCTCTAAGCCTCAGTGTCCTCATCTTGAAGATGAGGGTGTGAATAGTGCCTGCCCCTAGCATGGTTATCAGGGTGAAATAAGATGGTAGATGTGAAGTGCCTGGCATGGCACTTGCAAGTAACTGGGGCTCAAAGAGCATTCCCACCCATTTCTTCAGGAAAACAATATCCAAGTCATATCGGGGAATGGGATTCAGTTTCTTCTGACCGCACAGTCTGTGAGGAGCAGTTAGATGGTGCTGGAAGGGCCCCTGCGCGGACTGCTCTGGGGACTTATTTTCAAATCTTCCCCAGCCAGCTCACTGGCATCCCATAGCACCACCTAGTGCCGCAAAGTGGAAGAATGGAAGGCCCATCCTTACCCACCTCACCTGGCTCCCCCTGCCTCCTTACAAACGTGTGTGTGTGTGTGTGTGTGTGTGTGTGTGTTAGAACGAATGCTATTTTTCTAGAAGTCCAGTGCTTCCATTTCCCTGCCAACAATTCCTGCCATCCACACATTCGTGGGAGTGTAGGCAGATCCCTTGAGTCTCGCTGGGCTTAAGTTTCCTCATGCAAGGATGGCCAGGCTAGGCTTGATTTAGCTGCGATGCCTAAAGTACTCCATGCCCACTGGGCACCCATCTATGTTTGCCCAATAACACAGACAGACACCATCTTTACACACCCTTTATATTTTTATTGAGGAGAGAAAGCATTAGCGTACAGAGTAACTTCTTATCTTCACAACACAGTAATACAACAATAACACAATAATAACACATTTATTTCAAAGGAGTTTCCTCCCTAGGCTCTGGGAATCTTTGGGCTGCCTCCATACCCCTGCATGCATTTCCCCCCCACACACCCCCCCGCCCACCCACCCACCCACCCTTAATAAGGAGGCTCCCAAAGCCCACAGCTCTCATGGCTGTCACATCACAACAAATATTGAAGATCTGGGAAAGTGGGGAGAGGGTCAAAGGGAAGCCCAACCCCCCTCTGCCCCCAGAGGCCTGAAAACCAGCTCACTGCTCATCTGCTTTCTCCCTGGCTGAGACTACAGGGTTCAGGTGAGATGCACCGTGGGAACAGGCAGGGCCTGTGCTGATGGCTCCCCAGAAGTGGGGGTGCAAGGCACCTGTCCATTGCACTTCTCCATCAGCACACGGGCAGCAGGGCCAGCAGGTCAACATCAGCAAACAGGTTCGAAGCCTCGAAGAATAGCAATTCCTCTTCTGGAACTCCCTCCTGAGGAAATAAGCTGAAAAACAGACAAAATTGTCTTTACAAGGTTGTTTACTCCTGTCCTGGTGGGAATAGGCAAAACCACACAATTGAAATGTCTAACAAATTAGGAGAATGCTAAATAAATTCTTCAGTGTGCATGACTGCAAAGCTGGCAGCCATTTTAAATCCCACCAATGAGCACTAGCAGGATGATGTCAGCTTTGAAAAGACATCTCGAAAACACACTAAAAGGAAATGCAGCAAAGTGTTAAAAGTGCTTGCGTCTGTGTGGTGGGATTCTGAATGATTGAGAGTATTCTGTCCTTAAGGTTTTCTCAGTTTTTCAAGTTTTCTATAATGACTATGTATTACTCTTGTCTTTGGGGGACCTTTGTAAAAGGTAGCAACAAGTTATAGAAACCTAACTCCATTGAGAAGCAGAAAGGATAAACAAAAGGGCACCTTACCTCCTACTGACGAATAGAGATCTCACCCAAAACCAGTCTGAGGACTGGGTCTCTCTGTGACTCCTCTTCCTCCAGTTCCTTCCTCTGGCCTCCAGGCCCAATATCCTAAGCCTGGTTACCTGTCAGACTCCAGTAAGGAACAGAGATTTCTTTTACTATGTTTTCTTCCCTCTGGCCACAGACACTTTGGCTGCCCTTACCCAGGTGCCAGGCACTGCACAGAAAGTTCAGTGTCCAGGGGCAGTTTGGGCCAGCTGCCGATTTGGTTGGCATTTTGTGGCCAGAGCTGACATAGTAAATGTGTATTTTTCACTGCAAAAGCAGTGTTTTCTGGACCCAGGGTGAGCAGCAGGTCTCTTTAGGAGGCACCTGGGTTTGTACGCAGAAGCCGTGGGAGTGCCTTGGAGGCAGCCATACCCTTCAGCCTCAGCATTTATTTTAGGGACATTGGCAGCCAGGTGTTGACCACTCATGAGAGCCATAAGGATGTCCCAGCCATGAGGCTGCAGTGGGTACAGTCTCTGCAGAGCCAATCTTTCTCTCTCTCTCTCTCTCTCTTTCTGGCTGTCCTGGAAGGAAAGAATAATGGGCCTCCTCTGAAATCTTGAGGACAGAAAGTCACCTGTGGAGACCTTTGGCTGGGGGCTATAGTCTAAGCCTGCAACAGGGGCAGACCTCCGTCCCTAAGAAAAAAGTTACTCCTTAGGATGTCAAACTGAGTTGTGTGACTTCTTCCGCTCCTTATTCCCGACCCCCAGCTGCCTACCCTTTAGGCAACATCAAGGAAAGGGGTGGAGGCTGACAAGTTGAATTCTGCCCGCAGGGAAAATCAGAAGGGCAGTGTGGTAAGAGGAGAAAGCCCCAGATTTGGCCAAGCTGGTCCAAGGGCCCTGATACAGAAGTCTGGAGGAAAGTAAATTCAGGTGCTGAAAATGGACCAGGTTGCCAGTCAGTCAAGGACAAACCTCAGTCAGGTTGTCCACTGGGCTAAGTGTAGGGTCCTCTTCCAGGCCTTTTTGCTGGAGGTATGGCATGAAATAAGCATAGGCTTCTAGGTACATTTCTCGGTGCCATCCTGCTTGAAGTCAGTTTTACCTAGTAAATGGCCTCAGCTTTAGGAGTTCAGTGTAGCCTGTCCTTTTAATCATTGGGGCAGATCAGTGAGGCATTGGGTGAAGTCCTGGTGAGCCAGTCAGAGGATAAAACTGTAGAACACAGGGTGAAGAAACACAGGAGAGTGAGGGCTGGGAACAACTAGAGAGGAATACAAAAGGGAGACCAGTTCATTTATAGGAACAAGCCCAGAAACCTGCTCTTCAGCTTGTGGCAGGACAGAGCAGAGTATGTGCAACAGGACAACTATGGTCGTCCTTCCTTTCCCAGGTGGGCCTTGGTTGGCCACATGTCACTCTCTGGTCAGGCTGCAAGACGGTCTGGAATTCTGTGGGTCTTCTTCAGGTTGTACAGGTCTGGAACGCCCTTAAGAACTGGTCAGTAGATGGGGCACGTGTGGCAGCAATAGCAGGGGCAGGGGACGCAGTAGAAGGGTGTGTTCCAGGTGGCCCCAGTACTCACACGCGAATTCGGCCACGAGCAGCTCGGTGGCCCCCCTGTCTCGGAGTGAGGCGGAACAGCACTGGTGGGCGTCTTCGAATTTGGCGTTGCCCCATGCGACCTGCGCGGCGAATCAGTGGTGGCGAGCTGTAGAATGGTGAATTGGTACCTGGAAGGCCCTCCAGAAGTGGAACTCGATTCTGGTTCCTCCGTCTGCTAGGCTGTATAGGAGGCGATTCATCCAGGAAATTCTCGGCATGGTATATTTCAGAGCTAATAGTTTGGGTTGAAGTGTCAACAAGGAGAGGCTCCTCCATCTCCATCAGCTGTTGCAGGAGGTGCTGGTGGTGGTGATGATGATGGTGAAGATGGTAGGCCAAAAAGTGGGCCTCCAGGTCACTATAGGTCACCATTCTTGCCTGATCTGGGTCTAGCTCCTGACATGGAATCTGGCTCCCCAACTCAATTATATCTTCCTCATCCTTATTCTCATCATCATCCTCATTTTTGTTCATCTCTTCCTCATCTTCTTTTGGTTTCATCTCTTCCTCCTCCTCCTCCTCCTCCTCCTCTTCCTCCTCCTCCTCCTTTTCCTCCTCTTCCTCATCCTCATCTTCATCCTCATCTTCATCCTCATCTTCATCCTCATCTTCATCCTCATCCTCCTCATCCTCATCCTCATCCTCCTCATCATAGTCCTCCTCCTCCTCCTCTTCGTCCTCCTCCTCCTTCATTTCTTCCTCCTCCTTCCCCATCTCCTCTTCCTCCTCCTCCCTCATCTCTTGCTGGAAAACCCTCATGTGATTTGGCTGGTCCTTCAGGTAAAGCCCACTCCTACATGCCTCTCCATCCTCATCTTCACTGTAGTGCTCTTCGCCTCCAGTTTCATCCTCATTAAGGTTCGAAGCAAAAGGGAAAACAACATTGCGAACCCCAGGGAGTGGCATCGGCTTGGGGACACGCACTTTTCTTTCTATCTCCACGCACTCAAGAATCAGCTCGTCTAGGTCAGCCATTTCAGTTGACCATAAGAGCTCCTTTCTGAAGAATTCTGACAGGCCTTTGAGAAATTGGTTTTGGAGGCGGCAGTCATCCCAAGGCAAGAATTGGGCCAGGTACTGAAAAGCATCGGCATAGCTGCCCAGGGTACAGTCTCCCTGTTTGAGCTTTCGGATGGCCTTTTTAGCTACACGTGGGGGGATGGGGCCACAGAATTCCTTACGGATTTCATCCAGGAAGCGAGGGAAGTTGGCATGCAGGGAGCTTCCTTCCTGGGTGACAGAGATGGCCCAATCCCTAGCTTCCCCAGTGAAAAAGGAGATCAGAAAGGCCACCCGCTCAGCGCCCCCGGGAAAATGATCTTCATGGTCAGCTATGAAGGTCTCTAGCTGCATCAGGAATTCGGCCAGGTAGACTGGGTTGCCTGAAAAGGGCTCTATGTCAGGCCGCTCCAGTGGTGGCAGAAGCGGCTGTGGGGGCGGCTCCTTTGACGCCGGGGAGGGCAGCTCCAGCGGGGGCGGGCTGGGTGGCAGGGGAGGGTCGGTGGACCCTTCGGGGGTCATATAGTCCTGGACCACGTTAATCAAAAGATCATTCGAGACATAGTCAGAATCCGTTCGTGGGGGAGGCCAGCACAAGAAGGGGACCTCTTCCTCGGGCATGGTGTCGATCTCATTGAGCGGGAACTCAAAGTTCTCCTCGGCCAGTACAGGCACTACGGGCATTGGCCAGCGGATATAGCTCGAGACATTGCCCCGCAAGGAATTAACCTCGGCCAGGGCTCTTCCAAGCTGAAGGCCCAAACTGGCATTCTCCCCGCGAAGGGCATTTAATTCTTCTTGCAGGGCTACATTTGCCATGCGGAGGCTATTGAGATTTCCTGCCGCCTCCGACATCTTGACTAGATCGGGGTCTCTGGGATTCAGGCAGTGGGGGCGAGGAACTAAGGGCTGCGAGAGGAGGTTGAAATGTGGCGGCGGGGCGGGAGGGGAGACCGAAGTGCGGTGGCGGCGGGCGGTAGCGGGCCAAAGTGGGCCACACCCACCAGGGCGAGGACCGAGGGCGGACGCTGGGGGCCAAGGCCCGGCGTCTCAGCCCGATACACTTTACCTCGAGGCAGGGGTTGGAGAAGGAAGACAACGGCGTGATGCCTGAAGGCTCCAGGTGGAAGATACAGGCGATGCGGCAGTGGCGGCAACGGCGGCGGGCGGGCAGGCGGAGGAGAGTGGTGCAGGAAGCAGACTGCGGCAGGATCTGTCGAGGAAAAATCTTGCGGAGGACGATTCCCCGCCTTTTAAGCACAGCCTCGCAGCGCCCATCCGCCCACCCCCAGAGCGCAGGGGCGGGTCTTCGGGAACCGCAGGCTCCTACTGGCCGCGGCCCGATCCCCCCCCCCCCCTTGGCTGCGCTTCTCACTGACTCTCTCCTTCCCTAGCTGCAGCTAACTCGGGTCGGGAAAATGCGACAGCGACTGCCCACTCGAGGTCGTCATGGCGACAGCCAGTGAACGTGTTCCTCTCCTCAGGCAGGCCCCCGAGTGTAGAGGAGCTGCTTCGCGAGGCGCAGCTCAATCTCCAGAGCCTGTTGCAAGGTACTGAAGAGGGAGGGGGGCTGCGGCCGGAGCCCAGAGGCGAGATGAGCTGCGCAACTGCAGGAGGGAGGCGAAGAAGAGGATAGGGACCAGCGAGAGAAAAAGAGAAAACAGTTCTAAGCGTTTTGAAAAACGAAGCTCGCGTTTTCCATCTTTCTTTTCAGCTTCCAGGCGATGATTCTAAGACTCATTTCCAGGGCTGTCTCCCGCTTCCTCATTTTTCAGTTCAGTGGTCCATGGGGGCAAATGGTGGAGGCTGAGGCAAGGCAGTGGATCAGTCCTTTCGCCAAGAGAGCTGGGTGGGAGAATCCCACAGTGTGGGCCCTCCAGCTCTCCTCTTTACACATCCCCCGTGCCTTTTGGATCCTCGAACCAGAAGACAAAAGGGGCATTGGCAGGGTCTCCCGCTGTGGGCTTCACTCACTCACTCTGCTCTTGCAAGAACCTTGTCCACATGCTTCCCGGGTAGCTACTGCCTCACCCACATAATTATGCCCAATACACCAGCACCCAGAATTCATCTATTGACCTGTCTTACTACCTCAGGTTTCCAGAAGCATCTGGCACCAAGTGGTGCCCAGTGGATGCTAAATGCACAAAGAGGTCTTAGCTCTTGTTTATCTAATACCAGCAAAGGTTAATACCAATGGACAATAAAAACCAGCTGATGGGCCTGCCAACTGGACTGCAGCCATAACCCCCACCTCCTTGCCAGGGCAGTGGTGACCTTAGACAATCAAGATGCCGAGGGACACCATGAGCCTTGTGTTCAGATAGGGAGCTGCCATGCAGACAAAAAAAAAAAAAAAAAAAAGAATTGGTGTGCTCTGCACTGGCAGAATTAGGACCGGTGAGTAGAAACCTAAAGGGAGGTAGATCCCACCCCCAGATAAGGAAGAACTTTTCTGACGTGGTTGACAGCCCCAACTGTCTGTGGAAGGAAGGCACTCCCCTTCTTTGCAGGTGTATGCACTGAGGCTGGAAGACACCCAGAAAGCTGAGAAGCACCCTGGCTGCTGAGGAGGGAGTTTGAGTAGAGACCAGAGATCCTAAGAGCAAGACCAAATTTCTATGATTCTCAAAGTCTTTGTTCAAATATACATAGAGCTGCGAATGTTTGTTCTTTACTCTCACTTTCTTCATTTATTCATCTAGCCATTGCTTCGGTCAAACCCATTCAATTTTTGTACATTCTCCTTCCTTGATGATGCCCTTGAACTTCTCCCTCTTCTGTGCCATTATATTCCCTTTCCTCTCCTTCCCCTCAACCTACCTAGACCTGACCCCACCCACAGTGGAACTAGGCCTACAAAAGTTCAAGTAAGGGTTCTTGTGATCTGCAAGAGAGCTCCAGCCTAGACTTTCCAGTGAAGAGCTCTTCTTGCTTCACACAGACCATTTCCTTAGTGGGGTTGCAGAAAACCTGAAAAACTGTAGGGCTTCAGAGAAGACCCTGTAGCAAAAAGTTTCTCTATCCTTGGCCTCTGCTCTGAGTTGAGCACTTCAGGTGGGGACCATTGAGATGAGGGCTTGGTCCCTGAATACAGCGCAGCTTGAATTTACTGACTTTCGTTTCTCCTGTACCCTCACAATCCTGGGAAGCAGGCACTGAGAAACAGCCCAAAGCAGCAGTGTAAGTCAGGCCTGGCAGCTGATGTAGGAGCCGTGGCTCGTGGTCCTCCCCCAGCTCAGTGCTTGGCTGTGACCCCCTAGAGTGTGTCTCCACTGTGCTATTTTTCAGAAGAATATGAGGAACAGTACTCAGAGGCCAGACTTCTGGGGCAGACCTTCCGCTCTTCTGTTGAGGCCCCTGAGCCCACCCCCAGCCCAAGGCTCCAGTCTGCCAGGCGTCTGGAGTTTGTGTTGATGGTGAGTTGCCTCTTCTCCAACCTGGGAGAGCCAGCTTGCACCCACTGACAGTGGACCTCAACCTGCTTACATTATCCACTGGAAGCTGCTGCTCTCCTCTGCTCACCAACAGAGCCACCTGGAGACCCCATGGGATGGGTTCTGAAGAGTGGGTGCCTGGCCAGGAGGCCTGTCCACACTTTCCTCCCTCCCACATGAAGCCTCTGACCACTCTGCCTAAACATCCATCCTGTGGGCCCTGGCTCATTGCTGGTTGGCAGCATACCTTTTCCGTCACCTTTTTTTCCTGCAGCCTACAAAACAGCAGCTGAGTGAGGATGAGACTACCACCCAGGGTGTGAGGGCCCCTGAGGCTGCCCTGAGCCTGTCTACAACCAACAAGCAAATTGCCTGGAATGGCCCCTTCCCTCTGCCCATCCTAGAAGAGAAGCGGTGGCCTCAGCCCTGCTCCACGCAGTCTGACCTTGTGCCCATCAACATCTCTGGTAGAGTTGCTTAGTGCCACCTGTTTGCTTCCCTCCATGCTACTACAGTCAATCTTCTCCAGATGTGCCATGTGCTGGGGAGGGAGGGCCACTCTCTTTGCTACTGGCTCACCCTGTGTTGTCACAGTCATGGCTCATGCCAGGGAACAGAGGCATGCAGAAGAGGGGACTCTGGTTGCTCTTCCTTCACTCTCTACTGGCATTGCTACTCTAACTGACACCATCTGAAAGCAAAAAACCAAAAAACTTTCCTAACCAAGAGCTCCAAAACTTTATGAACTTGGGTGCTCCTCAAAGCATATGTGGAAGTTTAAAGTTTGTGAGTTATGTTTGGTTTAGGGAAAGAATGTCTTGTGCCCAAAGCCAGGTTTGGAGTATACAGATAGGAGTTGGAGGGGGAAAGCAGGATCAGAGTGCTAGTGGTAAAGGAGAAGATGACACAGGGACACAGACCAAAGGCCTTCTGGCCCTTTCACTAAATACTAGATATTCTAGTGAAGTGGGCTTCCTCAAGTTTTTCAGGAAAGGGAAGTAGTAGAAAGAGGCTGAGGCCAAAAAAAAAAAAAGGCAGGGGAGGGGGGAAGTAAGGAGTGGTGGCACACTTGAGAGGCTGATGGAGAGGATCACGAGTTCGAAACCAGCCTGAACTACATAGCAAGATTTTGTCTCAAAAAGAAGGGGAGGGGGGACAGGATGTCCTTGAGAATGGGGAAATGATTTATGGAGCCCAGCTGGCTATGACTCGGGGACACGTGGCACACTATGCCATTACTCATCTCTGCTCCCCTTTTCCTGGCTGTAGAGGAAGAGCAGGAAGGTGAGTCACATCAGAAAATTATAGGATCAAGGAGATGAAGAAATTAAGACCTCCAGAGCCCAAAGGGACCAGAGGTAGACTGCAAGGCTGCACTAGCCCATACTATGCTGTAAAAAGCTGTAAAAAGCAGAAGACAGTGAAGACAGCACTGGCCACATGTGGCGATGCTCTCTGGATATGAGGTCATCCAATGCTTCTAGAGTCATCTTGGAAAATGATAGGCAGGAAACAAAGCCCATGACCCAGGGAAATGTTCCAAGAGGAGTAAGAGCCTATGAGAGGTTCACAAAGTGATGCCAGGCCCTGTTTCTAAACAGCTATCTTACTCTCATTGAGGCTAATTCGGAGTTTTGCCCATAGAGCCACTGGCTGGGGTGTGTGCAGCCATGTGTCTGGGAAGGGAGAGTCTGCTTGTTGGCTGCTGAATAAGGACCAGGGAGGAAAACCACATACCTGTCCCCACGGCCCAGCCGCACCCTGACTGCCCCGGCAATTTCCCAGGAGCCAAAGGCCAACCCAGTGCTTAAGAGAGAGAGGACTTGATCACCATGCAGCAGCCAACTTTGGTAAAATGTGAGCAGGTAGCTGTAAGACAGAATATCAGGCTTCATGGATGGCAGGGGGCAGTGGACAGCTTTTTAGAGACACAACCCTCACCTGGCCCCTATAAAGGCTTTATCTGAAAAAAAGATCACATTCGAACAACATCTAGTCTCAGCCCATTGCTCTGCACCAATAGTTCTCATCCCTGGTTCTGCATCTAAATAGTCATCTGAAGACTTCTTCTAGAATTCTTTTACCTTGCCCCTACTCTCAGGGAGTTAAATGTTCTGAAGTGAGATCCAGGAATTAGAATTCAAAAACCTGCCCAGATCATTTTGGTATAAAGCCAAGGTTGCAAACCACCACCCCAGTCCTCCTAAGACTTATGGCCCAAGTATGGCCTAGGAAACCCAGCATTCCTGTCTAGTGCCAGATTAGGAAGGATGGGGAAGAAGCACCTCCTGCCTGGACATTATTTATCGCTACTGCTCATTGCTCATCGCTACTGCCATTATCCTTTCTCTCTGCCTCAAGCCCGTTTCCACTGTACTTTCAACAGAAACCAGGATGTACCCAGGTGTCTTTATTTTGGCTACAGGGCAGCAGTTTGATAAACACGCAAGTTTGCGACACTCGTTGTTTAACACAGAGACAGCCGTGAACCCCAAGTCCACCCTGAGGCGGAGGAGGACCATTATTGGATTCTCTAACTATTCCCAGCGAGACCAAGGTGACCTCACCACAGCTGATCCACCGGACCCTTCCCCTTACCCACTCCTACAAATCCTGCCACACACATGGCACTGTGGTGATGAAGAACAAGAACAATTCAGGGGGATGGGGCTTTGGAATGTCCTGAAGAAGCCAGTATGGTGATTAGGGTTGCCTCCTGTCAAGGGAAACAAATGGTGAAGAGCAGGATTCTGGGGCTAATAAATTCATCACATTATTATCTCCCATTATCAATGTAATTAAACTTGGTGTGGTGGCGCACGCTTATAAACCCAGCACTTAGGAGGCTGAGGGAGGAGGATTACAAGTTCAAAGACAGCCTGGGCTACATCATGAGTTCAAGGCCAGCCTAGACTACATAATGAGACCTTGTATCAAAAAATAAAAAATGAGTGTAATATAGCCACATATGCTGAATTTAGGCAATTAGATGGGGGGAGGTGGAGATCATCAGTAAAACCAACATTTTAAGAGAGCCATTACTTCTGGGCATGGTGGCTCATGCCTATAATCCTAGCACTCGGGAGGCTGAGGCAGGAGGATTGCCACAAGTTTGAGGCCAGCCTGGGCTACATAGTGAGTTAAAGACCAGTCTGAACTATATAGCAAGACCCTGTCAGAGAGAGAGAGAAAGAGAAAGAGAGAGCCATTACTACTATTACTAAAAGAACAGACAAGGGCCGGGGATTTAGCTCAGTGGTTTCGCTGCCTGCTGCATAAGTGCAAGGACCCAAGTTTGATCCCTGGTACCAAAATAAATAAATAAACAAACAAACAAATAAAGAAATAAAGGAACAGACAAGGGCTGGGGATGCAGTCAGTGGCAGAGCACTTGCCCGGCATGCACAAGGCTCTGAGTTCAATCCTGGTGCTACAAAACAAAACCACAGACCAGGGCCAGGGATTTAGCTCAGTGGTTTTGCCACCTGCTGCGCAAGCGCAAGGACCAGAGTTCGATCCCCAGTACCAAAAACAAAAAAAAGCCAAAACCACAGACCAGGAAGCTAGAGATGTGAATTCTGGCCTCTCTACTTATTAACCCTGAGGCCTTGGCCAAGTTACATAACTGCTCTGAGCCTCAACTTTTTTCATCTGCAAATTGGGGGCGATGATACCAGCATAGTAGAGTCATTGTGAGTATTAGGGCCATTTATGTAATCTACTACCATATGCCTGGTATATAGTTGGTGTTCAACAAATGGTGGCTATTAATAATAATGCTGATATAACAATAATTGTGTATATGAGGGAACCTCTGAAGATTTGGAACATTTGAATGATTTCCTCACATCTGGTAATAAGTGACAGATGCCAAAAATGTAACCAGGCTCTTGGTGTTCCTGCTCTGGCATACTCCAGATTCACTGCTGGAGCCAAAAGCCACACTATGCGGTCCCTAGTCAGTTTCAAAGCCTTTGTTGTTATCTCAGAATTGACCAATGCTGAGGTCTGTGATGGTTTTAGGACCATGGCGAGAAAGTATAGGGAAAACCCAAGGTAGTTCCATATGATGCTTCCACTCTAAAATGGATCCTCAAAGCTTGAAAGTTTTTGGCAGCCACGTGGATGATTCAAGGACACTGTGTGACTCTGTGGTGATGAGCAAGAACCCAACTTGCCCAGGATCCTCATCTGTGAAAAAGAGAAACAAAGAAATTCTGACCAAGCTGTTGGCAAATGCTTTTTGGCAAAAAGTTGGTGCTCCTGTCTTGAAACAGCTGATGGGGGATCTCTTGCTGTACCACTAACCTTCTGTATTTCCCCCCTGCAGGTCACAGCAGCAGCCCAGCAGGCAGTGTGGATCTCTCTACTGCCTCACACGCCAGGCCCAGCCACTCAGCTCCACAAGGTGTTCATGGAAGAGTTGCCATTGGGCAGGAAGCTTGGTTCCCAAATCGCACCTCACCAGTCCTGAGAAATCTTTCTAGTGAGCCCGAAGACCCTCATCAGGCACTTAGTGACCTAGACCCTCCTGGCATGGAGAACATGGGAATGGTGTATAGCGTCCCTAGCTCTTGCAATGGGCCAAAAGAATCAACATTCTCTACTTCCTGGAAGGGAGATGCTTTTACCTACATGACTCCAAGTGCCATCAGCCAGAACAATCAAGTCAATGAAAGTGGAAAAAATCCTTCCTCGGGAAATTCTTGGGTCTCTGTGAACACACACCCACCTCTTGTTCCTAAGGAGGCAGCTACTCTCTTTGTTGCCTGTGATAACCCAGAAGGATGTAGTGGATTAGCCAGCTACTCTGAGCATCCTACTCAACAAGGGCAAGTACCAAAAAGACCCCAAAAGATTGGCCTTCTGACTAGTGGTACCTTGAGGCTGGAGACAGGCCCAGGTGGGGCCAATAGATTCAGGGAGCGGTCTCTGTCTGTGCCCACAGATTCAGGCATCACAGATGGGAATTATGATGAAGAGCAGAAGGCTACTGAGGCCTGTGCCCTGCCTTATGCCAGTACAAGCTCTGAGGGCAGCAACAGTGCTGACAACATTACTTCTCTCAGTGCTGAGCAAGAAGCTCGGCACAGAAGGCAGAGGTCCAAGAGTATATCACTCAGGAAGGCCAAGAAGAAGCCTTCCCCACCAACTCGCAGTGTCTCGCTGGTCAAAGATGAGCCAGTCCTCTTGCCAGAAAGTGAGTCTGCACTGCCTAAAGACCAGAGGCCAAGGAGCCTTTGCTTTTCCTTGGAACACCAAGGGCATCACTCATTCCACCCAGACACTCAGAGTCACCCAGCTGTGCCAGCCCTCAAAGATTCAGAAGGTGCACAGTTCTCCCACCACTGGTATCTAACTGACTGGAAGTCTGGTGACGCCTACCAATCCTTGTCCAGCTCTAGCACTGCCACTGGCACCACAGTCATTGAGTGCACCCAAGTTCAGGGTAGCTCAGAGTCCCTTGCCTCCCCTTCCACCTCCAGAGCCACGACGCCTTCCCAGCTCTCCATTGAGGTGGAGGCCAGGGAAGTCTCCTCTCCAGGAAGGCCTACTGGACTGATGTCACCCTCCAGTGGATACTCCAGCCAGTCTGAGACTCCAACACCCACTGTCTCCATGTCCTTGACCCTGGGCCACTTACCTCCACCAAGTAGCAGTGTCAGGGTACGTCCAGTGGTACCTGAGAGGAAATCATCATTACCCCCGACATCGCCAATGGAGAAAATGTCCAAGTCACGGCTGTCGTTTGACCTACCACTGACCTCTTCAACCACCCTGGATCTGTCTGGGATGAGTATCTCCATCCGAAGCAAAACCAAGGTGAGCCGCCATCACTCAGATACCAATTTTGGGGCCAAGCTGGCACAGAAAACTAGTCCCAACCAGCCGATCATGCCCATGGTTACTCAGTCTGACCTACGTTCTGTTCGCCTAAGGTCAGTCAGCAAGTCTGAGCCAGAAGATGACACTGAGAGCCCGGACTACACCGAGGAACCTGAAGCAGAAGAAGTCTTTGCCTTGCCAGAGAGAAAAGTGAAACCTCCCATAGCTGAGAAGCCTCCACTGGCCCGAAGACCCCCTAGCTTTGTCCACAAGCCACCATCTGTCCCTGAGGAATACCCGCTAACTTTTCCTACCTTGGCTATGACCCCCAAGAGCACCATTCAACATGTGAGACCGCTCCTCCAAGAAAGCTACACAGTGGTGCGGAAACCAAAGCCCCCTAGCTTCCCTGAGGGCAGAAACCCAGGGGAGCCAACACCCTCATCTCTTGTTTTCACGCCTTTTCCAAGTTCCTCTGGTGCTTTCTTCTCAGGAACACAGAGACTCCCCCAGGGAATTATGGAGGATGAGGGCCCCAAGATGAGAGCCTTACCTGAAAGAATTAGCCTCCAGAGCCAGGAAGAAGCTGAGAAAAAGACGGGCAAGATTCCACCTCCTGTACCAAAAAAGCCCAGCATGCTCTACCTGCCTCTCGCCTCCCCTGTAGCTCAGATGGAGTCCCATGTGGCAGAACCAAGGCTGCCTCTCAGCCCCATCATCACCCTGGAGGAAGATGCCAAGTGTCCTGCCACCGGCAGTGACCTGCAATTACATGGTAAAAGGACAACTTCAGCTCCACAGGCTAACAGAGAAAAGAAAGCAAGCTCTCCAGGTTAGTAAATTGTCTTCTGGCCTTTTCTTTCAACCCTAAGAAGGATGAAGGTGAGGAGGTACTGCCAGAGACAGAAGCAAATGCCCCAGAATAAGTATCCTCATCCTAGGATGACCAAATCGGTAGGGGCACCCCTGAAGCTTTGGGTTCCTCTAATAGGAATTGCAGGTTGGCCTTCTTGTCCTCGAAATCAGGAATGACCAGGGGCAGATCTGCAAGGCCAAGTCTAGTCAGTGTTTGCTACATGAGCAGTGACGATCCTTTGTGTGAGCTGCCTGTGCCCGGGGGAACGTGTGTTGATCTGTTTAAACTTTTAAGTTTAAATTACATTTGTGTTTTTAGTGATATTGCTTTATGAGTAGCTGCCTGTGCCCAAAAGTTCAAGCAATGTGTTATTATGCTTAAACTTTTAAGTTTAAACTGCATTTGTATTTTTTAAATGCAAGCTTAAAAAGGAAAGTCAACATTTAATTTGTTCTCACATTTTTCAAATATTTCTGAGTTTGTGAAGACTTATGGTAAATTAACATTTGTTGAACACCTGTGTGCCGGGGGTCTCCTCTGCCTGTGTAAATAGTGTTTTTAAGACTGTACTATTATTATTTTTTGACATTGAACTTGATTGATTAAAAAAAAGTCTGAGCCAGTGTACCCTTGGTTCAAGTGCTGAGGTAATGAAATCAAACTGGACTCTAGCACACTAGGACTTCAGGACCCCATCTACCCGGCCAGGAATGCATTCCCTACCCTAGGAATCCACCTCACTGTACCATGCTTTTTCATCAGCCACACTAAATTTACTTTCACTCATGGGACTCAGTACCTCCCAGACCAAGTCCCAGTGCTTTGGTAGGCTTGGAGGCTTCTGAAACAATGGGCCATGGTGCTATCCACAGCCTTTCTTAGTGCCTTGTAGTGGAAAGGGAGCTCACTTTCTTGGATGGTTTGAGGTTAGCTCTTTCTAGAACTGTAAAACTAGACCACTTAATGATCCTCATCCTTTTTGTTTGTTTCTGTGTCTTTGTTTTAATTGTAAAATACACATAACATAGCATTTACTATGTTAACCATTTTTAAATGTATAGTTTATTAGTGTTAAGAACATTTTCTCTGGTGAGCAACCAACCTCCAGAACTCCTTTCATCTTGAAAAAAATCAAAGTCCATATCCATTAAACAACCCCTCTTCCCAGGCTCTGGTGATCACCATGCTTCCTTTTGAATCTATGAATTTGACTTCTCTGAGTACTTCGTGTGACTGAAATCAAACAATATTGTCTTTTGTATGATTTGCTCATTTTATTTATGCTCACCCATATTTCTCATTCTTTTTGAACCTTTAACATCAAAATCTCATGACCTTTTTTTTTAAGCTGATTTGAATTCTCATTGTGACTAAGACAAGTGAACAAAGTTAGAGGGTATGCCTCAGCAGTAGAGCAATTGCCTAGGATGCGCAAGGCCTTGTGTGAGGAAGCATGTTCTAAAATAATCTGTGGGTATTTTTATTTATTTATATTTGCAGTGCTGGGGATGGAATAAAAATAAATAAATAAATAAATAGATAAATAAATAAAACAAAACAAGCAAGCAAAGTCAGGCATGGTGGTGCACACCTGTTATCCCAGCACTCTGAGAAGATGAAGCAGGAGGATCACAATTTTGAGCCCAGCCTGGGCAACTTTGTGACCTAACAAAACCCTGTCTCAAAATTTTAAAAAATGGAAAAAGGGCTGGAGATGTAGCTCAGTGCAAAGGACTTGGGTTCAATCTCCAGCACCACCACCACCACCACCACAAAATACCCACAGATTAATTTAGAACATGCTTCCTCAGACTCCACAGGTTCCCTCCAAGATTCAGACAGGTCCTCTTCTCTCCCACTGGATGAGAGTCATTGCTGCACTTGATCTTAACCAAAAGGCCATGAAGCGATAGAGTCATGGCTTTAGATTGCTCTTGGCTCTTTGGTTTTTAGAAAACGATGTATTCAAAATAAGAGGGGCTGGGTGTGTGATTCAGAAGTAGATCACTTGTCTAGCATGTATGAGGCCCTAGGTTCCATCCCCAATAGACCAAACATAAGCAAATAAATAAAAATAAAATGAGACTGCTCAGGCCACCTATTGCACTGAAAAAGGCATGGAAGATCAGGGACCTACAGCAGTCTTCACCACTTGGGCAGTCATTAAGCTTCTGAACTTCATGTTCTTCCTGTACGAAATGAAGACATTAAAATCTCTGCCCTGCTGCCCTTCCAGAGTTGCTTTGAACATCATGTGAAATAATACATAAAAACGAATGTGCTTTGCCCTATCTATTGTGGTCAAAGTCATTCCTTCTGGTTCTTATGCCTAGGGAGTCCTGTGGAACCAAGCACTGAAGAGAAAAGTTTAATCAGTGATAAAACTGCTGAATGGATTGCGGAGGAGGAGGATGATGTCTTTGTGGCTTCTCGCACAACTGAAGATTTATTTACTGTGATACACAGGTCTGAACCATTTTCCTTCATTCTAATTGCAATTGCCTTCTGTTTTTCTACTTAAAGAAAAACTGCTACTTCTGAGCAGTCATTAGAATTGCAACTGGAGGCTGTGTTCAGATACCCGCATATGTGAGCACAGTGCAGGGCCTCACATCTCAAATTCACTGACATCTTTGGGTAAAGAGGAGGATGGGAGAGAAAGGAAGGGGAGGACCAGGTGCTGAAAGAGAGGCCCCTCGTCTCCTAGCAACTGCTTGGCCTATTGTAGCTCCATCTGCTCTCTCACAGCTCTGTCTGCAGTTGGAGACATTTAACCCTTCGCAGAATTCCTTGTACCATAAAATTCCATCAAGAAGTGATGTGAGGCATTGGGCAGGATATCAAAATAGCAACTTAGGGAAAGGGGGAGCAGATGGAATGCAGGGGCACAGGCCAGGGCTTGATGGCAAGAAACCTGGAAGGAGCCTGGTTATCTGAGATGGAGCACCAGTTCAGAATAGGATCAGCCCCCAGGGGCTAGTCACTGAGCACTAGCCTTGACTCCTTAAATTTGTCCTCAGTCTTGGAACCCCAGCAAGATTGAGCCTGTAGGCACAAGCCAAGTGAATCCAGCTGTGGACATTGAAAGGCATGCGTAGCTGGGTGCACATGCCATGGTGGCACACACCTGTAGTCCTGGCTACTCGGGAGGCTGAAGCAGAAGGATCACTTGAGCCAAGGAGTTTAAGCCCAGCCTGAGCAACAAAGTGAAAGAGACCTCTTCTCAGAAAAGACAAAAGGAGGCTCAACTAGGGACCTGGGGGCTTAGAGGTGAGAAAGAAAGCCGGTCTACATGATGTGTGCAAGGCTGCCATAAGCACATTCTCAATCACACCCTTTAGCAGGAAGTTCTGTGAAACATTAGTAAATATCTGCTATCTGAATGCACTCAGACCAAGCTTTCTCTTATTTAGGTCCAAAAGAAAGCTGCTTGGCTGGAAGGAGCCTGGGGAGGGCTTTGCAAGCAGCCTACCAAGCTCTCACTCACCAGGAAAGAACATGGCCGATTCTCCCATTAGTGAGTCTGCTGCTGCCGCTGCTGCGACTACCACCTTGGGATCAAGCAGCAGTGCCAGTCTAGACATGAGCAGAAATGATGATTTCAAGGCCTTGCTCCAGAAGAAGGGAAGTAAGGCAACTCTGAGGTCCCGCCCCTCAGCAGCCGAACTGCTGAAGACCACTAACCCACTGGCTCGGAGAATCATTGCACAGTTTTCAAATGACTATGAAACCACCGATAACCCCAGTTCCTAAGCCCTGGCTTCAACAAGCAGGGCTTACTTACTGAACTTGAGATTAGGGGGGGATAGAAAGGGTTTGGGAAAGGAACCATGGAAATAACAAAGACCCTGCTGTTTTAGACATTAACTTACACTCTGGATGGCAGGAGAGAGGCCATTTCAATTAGAATTAAGATCATCAGGCACTTGAAACATCTTTGGACATTTTGCATATCCATACTTTCACCCTTGCCATGACTGAAAACCAAGTTTTTTCCTTTTCCTCCACTGGTGTGCACTAAAAAAGAAGAAATTCTTAGATGCAAGGGCTTATGTGCCACCTTTTCAATCTGTGTCCTGGCTGCTCCATCCCTGGCTCCTGTCACTGAGGAGCACAGTGGGAGAGCAGATCGGAGGTTGGCAACCTCTGGGAGTGAGGCAGAGGATGTCATTGCTGATTATTCACTTTCCTAGGGAGGACTTGATGGCCATATGTAGAAACACAGAAAGACACCAAGGCTCCCGAACCACGGTGGGACTCTCTTCCAGGGAGAGTTTTGCAGGTGTGCACTTGTTTCAGCATGGGGTTCATTGGATGACCTTTGTGGTACAAAAAAATGAATGTGACCCTGTCCTGAAACTTCATTCCTTTTTCAGTTTGATTGTCTACACGGAGATCAGGGTGATGTGTTTCAGTACATTTGTGGACTGACATTCCCCCCACCCCACTCCCGCCACTGCCCTATTAGATAGAAAAGGTCAGAACTGCATGGCTTTGAATGAACCAAGTTGAGCCAGCAAATGAGGCAGCCTTGTGGTCACTCACATCTGGCCAAGCAACTTGCACATGCGCCTTGAGGTCCTACAGGTGTCTACCAGGATCTATGCCTAGTTCATGCTGCATTCTAAGAATTCTCATTTCATTTGCATGTAACATTCATTAAAGGAAGTAATTAGCTGAAGGATCAGCATCACCAAAGGCTCAAGGAAGATAGAAAGTAAATTCATCTTGCTCCACACTATTCAATTCAGATAGAATTTTGTGGTTAATTGGATTTTGATTAAGGAAATCTGACTCTTCAAAAAACCAAGAACCTATAGACTAAAAGTATCTACCCAAAATCTAAAAGGCAGCTTTGCCAGTTGCCATGGCCCATAAAGCGCACAAAAATGGGCCACTTTTTGCTATTTACATTCTGTTTGACCAACTTTCAGTTAATTATGCTGGGAAAGAGTGAACAACCATTGTGACCCTCCTTCCCGTCCAAAGCTAATAGGCACCTAACTATTCTTGTCAGCTCAGTTTTCTAAAGACAGCAAGAGCAGTGACTCATTTGATTTCCATATGCCTGATTTCTGGGATCTTGGGGGTCAGACAGACAAAGCATTTAAAAAGAAAAAAAAAAAAGCCAGGGATTTAGCTCAGTGGTTCCGCCGCCTGCCTCGAAAGCAGAAGGACCTGAGTTCAATCCCTGGTACCAAAAAAAACACACAAAAAAACAAAAACAAAAGACAACCTGCTGACCAATGTTGGAAAGTTCATTGCCTACTCATCCCCAGAGGCAAAAAGAAAAGTCAAATGAAATTGCAACTTGCTTTACAAAGAGTCTTCTCCAACCCCTTCCTCTTTCGCCACTGAAACCAACAGATTCATTTGCATCCAGGTTGCAGAGAGAGACAAGCAGATCTCAATTTTGGTAGGTCGTGTTTGTCATCAATGAGAAGCAAATGCTCAGCTCAACTACCCACACTCCAAGCAAACAAAACAGCTGAGAAGCCACACTGAGTTCTGAGAAGATGTGGGCTTCTCACATAGAAACCCCAGGCCTAGGCCTTTGGATGATCCAGTTCTGAAATCTAGATTCATGGGAACCACCCAGGCCCACCAACTGTCTTGCTATCAGCACTTCCCTTGAGTTAGAAAGAAGCCATTTAAAATAATAGATGAATAATAATGAAAGCCCAGTTGCTTTTGAAAGTATTTGAACTATTTGTTTTAACCAAGTTTCAGAGGTTTTGTCTGAAATAAAACAGATTCATTCCCAGCCTTAGTTTATGTGTGAATACCACACTTACCTGGCACAGACTCAGAATTCCAAAAGATAGAACCATTTTCCTCTGTAAGGAAATGAAGGAGCATTTATGCTTTTGTCTAATAAAATCAAGAGGCTGCCAGGGCCTTCTCCTTAGGAACAATTATGAATTACCTGTAGCTGAACTCTAAAGTTTGAGCGTCTGGGACTCACATAGTATAGGACCTCTGTTACTTCTGCTGAGTTTTTCTGGAAGCTTTTTATTTACTTCCAGTGGGTTTTTCCCTCTCCCCTCACATTGCTACCTCTGGAGATTTTCCCAAGATTCTAAAGCTGAACACCCAGAACCTCAATGTTTTTCAGTTACCTTTATTCTTATTTTCTTCTACAAAATTGTATGCCTGGAATTTTTAGAACATTTTCTGCATCGTTGCTATAGCCCTCACATGCCCACTGGTGTCCCCATTAGTTTAAGAGGATTTGGAACAGATTGTACAATCAAAAATAACACTGAGGACTAGAAATACTCATTTAATATTTTGCGTCAGTGCACCTAGTTCCAAACAAACAACCAAATCATAAAACTTCTAACAATCACTGATTAACAGAACACCAAGCATCTTTCCAACTCATAACACTCAACCTCTCTCTGCCCTCAATTATCGAAACACCAACTCTCTCTTCTACCTAGGCACTTACCAGAGTGTTTACTGCCTTCTGGGCCCACTCTGCCTGCCAAGACTGGAGAAGACAGCCCAAAAGCCCCTCTCTTGCAATCAGCACCTTCTCTGAAGGTTTTCAGAGAAGCCACTACTGCTGTTACTAGTAACAAGTAATTATAAGAATAATGTTTCAAGGTGAAATATACAAGAAGTTGGAGGGAAACAAAGTTGGCCCCAGGAGGTCAGCTTCCACTGCAGGCCGACACAATACCCTTGTTTCCCTCCACTTCCAACCAATAGAGCAGTTGGCTACGCTAGACTGGCTTCATTGGAGTCAGAAGTAGAGGGAGCCATCCTCAGGAGAGGCAGTGAATTGATATCTAAGAGTGCTTTCTAGTTGGTGGGTATTCATTACATATTTGTGGTTCAGATGTGGGCGATGGAGAGCAAGTTCTTGGTACAATAGCAAGCTTTGTTGGCATCTCTGCTTCCCGGGCTGGGCCTCCTGACTGGGCCTCCTCACTGGGCCTTCCACCTGGCCTCTCAGCCCCAATACCAATGAATTTTATCCCTAGCCAGCAGCTCGGTCATGAAGGAAACAAGGCCATAGGCAGCCAACTGGTCCACATTAGCTTAAAGACCACAAGTTGACCAGCTGATCTGGAAAAGTTACCTTGAATGTGCAAAGACAGGAGAATTTCAAAGGCTCTCCTAACAAGCATTTTGCCTGACATCCATTTTAACTAGGTAGACCACACAGATCCAATTTGCCATTTCTCTGTATCTGTCACTTTGAGCAGACCTGGCCATGCACCTGCTACCTTCCTCATTCCTGCACCAGCCCTGTGACTTGCACTCTGTAAGTAACATAAGTTTTCCTTTCTCCAAGTATCCTTCTTCTTATTGAAGACGGGAGTGACTCTGTTTCCAGACCAAATATTTAATTGCTATCTATTTTTCCATTCATTGCTAGAAGCCTTTGTATGCCTACTCATTAAAGAACCTCCAATATTTGAGGAAAACATAGTTGATTTCGAAGTTACCTGCTCCATATGGCAAGTTAGCACCCATTTCAATAGAGACATCCACAGGGACAGCTCTTCAGCAAATAGTGAATGAGTTGGAGGTCTGTCCCTAAGACCCTCAGTCTCCTTATTTATGCTCACTTTTTCCCCAGTCTTTGCATCCTAGCATAGATTCTCAGTGTCTCCTACTTTGTTCTCCTCCTCCCTAAGAAAGACATGCTCTCAGGCAAGGGATAAATTCATTTACTTTGAGATTATAAGGCTTAACGCTACCTCTTTTGAGGGTCACTTGCATTTGAACAGGGGAAAAGCCTTACGCCAAAGGAATGATGTTTTACTTGCAGAATATTAGACATCAACTAGTTGTAGAAGTGATTTTTTCACCATGGACAGGCCAGATTCCCTGACAGCTAACTCCAGAGCATAGAAAAGACCTTTATCAATGTGGTTAGTAACTGATGGTCAATTAAATTGTCCGAATAGTCAATATGGTTACTAATAAGGGACTCTCAGGAATGGCACTAAAAGCCACTGGGAAGGCCTAGATCATTCATATTGTACATTAACATGTTTACAAAAATAGAATTAATACTACTTAACATTTGAGTAAAAGAACACAAAGATTTAAGGAGTTTGTGAAAATGTGTCCTGTTTGTGAAAAGTGAAATATCTGATCCATGTCCAATCAACATCAGTCATCCAGTATTAGTAGTGATTATTTAACTTATTGGAGATCCAACTTTAATAAACCCAGGCCTCTGCTTCCCTGCCCAACCATTTACCTCTGTTATGTGCAATCACTTCAGCTTGATGTGAGAATGAGACCCATACCACAGCATCCAATTCCTTCAAAGCCTTCGTATGTATTTCAGCTATAAGTGACAAAGATATTAGGGATTTAAAAGGATGAGAGAGTGAGAAGGAGGTACAAAGAAGTGCCTTTGTCAAAGGGCAGCGAACAGTATAATGATTTAAACAATTATATGAAATAAGCAATGTTTTAGAATACTTGGAAATAGATTTATAAAAGACTACAGTAGAAAATGATTATGGATATATCTTTAGGGCACTTTTTATAAGTTTAGCAAAGAGAAACTTGCACGAGTAATGGGTTACATGAAATAGGTAATACTTTTGTTCAGTAAAGCTCAAAAATTTAGGCCAGTGGTTCCCAGGACCAGCGACAGCAGCAATCCTGGTATGTGTCTGTCTGTGTGCGTGCATGCATATGTGCGTGAGTGTGTGTGTGTGTGTTTTCCAATGATACTACTCTTTGAAGCCCCTGAATCACTATAGCCGGGGCTCCATCTGATCCCAACCTTTCCCATTGTTTGAGCTGTCATTACAGTGATCAATCTCTGACCAAGAGATGTACTATAGAATCATCATGTTGGTCAGGCACATATTTGTTTGGTATTAAGAAATTATTAGATTGAATCAACTCTGCAATCAATTCAATCCACAAAACCTTTGGTTTGACTTAACTACCACATTTGGCCTGGTTTAAGTTCTTAAAATGTTTTTAACTCACAACTAGAAAAAAGGGAAAGGTGTTTGACTCGTTTGGTATTACCAACCCTTAAATACTCATCCTCATCATAGTGGTTATTCTCCGGGAGGGCTCTGGCAGAAGTATAATTGATTTTAAGGTTTTGCCTAAAGAGGGGAATTTGATAGCAACAAACTCCACAACAAAATCTGAACCAGAACAAGCAGTTAACCCCTCTCAGCTTCTTTGTAATGCCAAGCTTTATAGGAATTTGATTCTGTATGTGGTCTTGAGCTTTTCTTAATGTCCAATTTTATAAAATGTTATGCATGCAAATGCAGCATTGTGCTCATTGTACCAGTCACCTTAAACCCGTTCCTTCTTTCGTGTGTATGATGGTGAAGAAATACCAATATGTATGTTCTGATGTCTCCTGATTAATTGTAAATTACAAACCTTTTCATTAATTTTTAAATGAGACATATTTACTCTGGCTAGTAGTTACACTTCTATTCTTTTTATTATATTTCGTTGCTACTTTTTTCTACTGACTCCAAAGCTTACTTTGGGGAATATTTCTCATTTCTAGATTGTTGTATTTCTCTTATTTGGATATTTATCTATAGTCACAGAATGTTAGAGCTGGAAGGGACCACCCGCTCTCATTTTGTAGATGAGGAAACCTAGGCCAGAAAAGGTCATATAGCTTACCTAAGGTCATGTAGTGAGTCAGAGGCAGGACTTAGCCTCAGTTTCAGGTCTCCTGCCCCTGGGCCTAGTGTTTTGCCATTTAAAGCACTACATCTGCAGAAGATCCACAGCTGGCTTCTACTTTTTGACTTATGAATTTCCCAGGGTAAAAAAATATTTCTTTAAAGGAAAAGTGCTCAAGAGTTCTTTAGTTCATGAATCCAAAGATAAATCTAATTTTCTGTTTAGAAACTTTCACTCCACATTCAGTATCTGTGCCCTACTTTGTACAATGGATGTTTCCCTAAAAGTTGTGTGAAAAATGAATTTTTACAGATCAAATTTCATTTTTTAGTAGAAGAAGCTTCCCATGTCAGAGAATCTTCTAGGGACTTCTTCTGAAAAACTAAGACTTCCTTTGTCATTGTCCCTTAATATCTCTACTTAATTTTTAGTGGTACAGTATATTTTCTATTTAGTGTTTATTTAAAGTAG